CCTACCCCATTGCAACGCCAGGGAGGGCCGTGGGTCACTTTTTGAGGAGCTGCTGAGTGGTCTTTCCCCATGGCTGTGCCATTTTACATTCCCCCAAGCAATGTACAGGGCTCCAGTATACTGATTATCCGAGGGGATGTAAAATACTCCGAGGGGATGTGAAATACTTTTTATTTTAATCATCTAACTACTTTAATTTTCCTTGTAAATAGATTTATTTCTAAATTCAACTAATGTGGTTTTTAAGAATTGATTTTGCCAAGAAATAATCCACTACAAGCATATAGACTATAACTTCTTACAACTTACCACCATAATTGTTGCTCCATTCCAACATTTACCATGATGCAGAGCAAGGTTTTCAGTGCTCTGGGTGAAATGTTTGGTCCCCAAGGTGCTGCATTGGCCTTGTCTGCCCTTTCCAGGTTGTGCTCACCATGTGGGAATGTGGTCGCTGGAAGCTGCCCACAGCTTTAGCAAGTTGAACATATGTTATGCATTACTCATGTGTTTGTTTTTGCGTCTTGCTTTAAAATGAGTTCTGAAAAACCTTTTGTGTGAGTGTGTAAACATAAATTTGTATAGGCATTGAAAGATGTCCCGAATCCTTAACTCCAGACTGCTAACACACTGTGTTTTTTTTTTAAAAGGTATTTGACCAGAGTGCACTTTCAACGGAAGCTAAAGAAGAAATGTACAAACTGTATCCTAATGCCCGAAGGGCTCACCTTAAAACAGGAGGCAATTTCCCATACTTGTGTCGAAGTGCAGAGGTAAATCTTTATGTACAGGTAAGTCCAAGCCTCAACCTTTTTTATTTTTAATGATAGAGAAAGAGAACTACAGAATACTCTTTCAGAATGAGGCAGTGACTTTATAAAAGTGGTTTACATTGATAATTCATCGGACAAGTCAAGCAGGTGTACTACAGACACCCGAGTGACTGCAAACTCTCCCTTTTCAGCCCACCCGGCTGTACCATTGGTGTGATGTGGCTTCGCTTCCTGGACACAATAAAATAAGTCAGAGTCAAACACAGGCCCCAAGTGGGGTCCATCTGGATCCCAGGAAGTGA